CCCTAGGTTTTGCTAATTCCTCACCTGTGACTCCTAGCCACCCACACCCTTCAAAGTAGAATCAAGACATCTGCTTTCCCAGGCTCTCTTATAGCAAGAGTACAGGCAAGAAAACCAAGCTCTGCCAGAGACTTCTGTTCAGAAGAGGGCAACATGAAGAAGAGCATGGAAAGCCATCTTCTGACAAGGCTAGTGGCAGAGGAGTCCAGTTCTCAGATAGCAGCAAAGATTCTGGACTCCGTCACTGATTCAAATTGCTGCCTCTGTACTCAGAGGAGGCAGCAGCACATGTCTGTTGGTGCCGTCCTTCAGTGAGATACGGACATGGTCATTCCTGGCTTTGGAGTCCCCAAGGCCTTCTCAGAGATCCTGGGAGGAACCTAGTAACTTTAGTAAACTCATTCTCTTCTTAAACTAGTGGAAGTGTGGAAGAAACTTAGGGGATGTTATGCTAAACAACCCCAGGTTTTGACAGCTTACAATAATAAAAGTTTGCTTTTCATTTCCATTCCACAGCCAGCACTGAGAAGTTGCAGTTCTGCAACATGAAATCTTCCCTCTAAGACTCAGGTCAATTGTCTGGGACATTGCCAGTCCCAGAGCAAAAGGAAAGGCAGGAGTGAAACACAGTGATGCTTATGCTCTGACTGGTAAGCGATACGCATCACTTCTGCCCGCATTCAAGCGGCCAAGGCAAGACAGCAGTGCTAGGAAAATCCTAATGGGTCAGCCTGGAGATGTAGCTCAGTGAACAGTACATACTCAGCATGCACGAGGTTCTGAGTTCAATCCCCACCACTTAAAAAAGGGAAAAGGGAAAAAAAATCTTACTTTAAACAGGTAGGTTGTGATACCTTGCAATGGTAAGGTGACAGTGGAACTTCCAGCCTCTGGGTCAGGTCACATCCAAGTCCAGGATGAACAAGGAAATGTCTCTTCTCAGGACTTCATGCAAAAGCCCGAGAATTAGCTCTGATTGGAAGTGATTGGCCTGATCCAAATCATCCCCACACTAAGGAATTTATTCAAGACAAATTTACTGAGTGCTCAGTATGTGTGCTACCAACTGTGTAGGCTCAGTGGACTAGTGCAACAAGCCAGTCCAAATCCATGCTTCATGGAGCTCGGGCTAGGACCAGTCGAGGATGATGGGGATGTACAATCGACACACGGATAAACATCTAGGTACTTAGTACAACCTGTGGCAGAGAAAAATAAGCAGGAAAGGGGGACAACTGAGTTTCAGGTGAATGGAAAAGGCTAACAAATTTTCTACAGGGCAATCAGGAAAGAGCTCATTAAGAGAAGATACATGGGTAAATGTTCGCATAATATGACAGGACAGCAATGGGCCCATCTAAAACAACGAGTATGCAAAGCTGGGGGACAGCAGATGCAAAAGCCCCAAGGCAAGTGAGGCCTGCACATTGGAAGAACAGCAAGCAGGCAAGGGTGGCTGAGTAATATATGTAATGAGAGAGCTAAAGAGTAGGAGGCTACTAAATTTGAACTTTTATTCTAGTTAAGGTGAGGAGCCACTGAAGGGATTTTGAACAAAGGACTGATAAAATCTAAGTCAGCTTTTTTTATTTTTGTTTTCTGTGACACTGGAGATTGAACCTGGGGCCTTCACACTGAGCTACATCCCTAGCCCTTTTTTTACTTTTTCCTTTGAGACAGGATCTCCTTCAGTTGCCCGGGTTGGGCTCAAACTTGCAACCTTCTGCCTTAGTCTCCTGGGATGCTAGGACTGCAGGCGTGCACCACCTTGCCTACCTTCACTCAGGTTTTAAAAAGACGACTCTGCCTCCTCTGTGAATAGTCCATAGGGAGAGAAGGGCAGAAGCTGGGAGGCCAGCTGGGAGGCTGTGGGCAAGGATCCAAGCAGCTTTGACTGAGGTAGGAAGGAGACGGTAGAAAGCCATCAGGTTCTAAATAGATTTTGAAGGTGGAGCAAATGGATTTCTTAACGAGGTTACATTTGGCGTATAAGAAGAAGCAAAGAATCAAGTGTGATTTTAAGTTTTAGGTATAAATGACTAGAAAAATAAAGTTGCTATTACCTGAAAGAAGGAAGCCCAAGGAACAGATTTAGGGGAGGGAGGGCAGGAATTTAGATGCAGACTTAATGGGTTCGAGATGCCTATTAGACATCTTAATGGAGACGTTAAATATGCACAATTGGAGTTCAGGAGAAAAGTCTGGACTAGAGAGATACATTTGGTCTCATCTAGGTTAAGATGCTACTTAAAGCCATTAGAGTGAATGAGGTCATCAGAGTGGTGAGAATGAACGGAAAAGCACAAGGCCCAAGATTCCAGGAAGAGCTGCACTGAACGGTGAAGAGATGAGGATCCAGCAAACGTGCTGGAAAAGGCGTCACCACTGAGGTAGGAGACAAACATCAGGAGAGGGTGGAATCCCAAAAGGCAAGAGAGACAAGTGTTTCAAAACGAGGGCAGGATCAATGGGTTGAAATGCTGCTAATCAGTCAAATAAAATAACAAATTACTCTGGTCACAATGTGGAAGTCACTGGTGACTTAGACCTGAGGAATTTTGGAGCAAATACCAGTGTGGGAGTGGAATTAGAGAGGGCACTAAAGAGACCGAAGAGTTTTGCCATAAAGAAGAGCAGATAGCCAGATGTATGGCGCACGCCTGTCATCCCAGCACTCGGGAGGCTGCGGCAGGAGGACCGCTGTGTGTTCAAGGCCAGTCTGCACTACAAAGTATGATCCTGTCTCTACAAAACAAAAAAAGGACAGATAGGTGAAAGTAGAGGCAGGAATGGGATTGAGGTCATAGTGGTGCCTCAGTCCACAAACTTAATTCTTTCCACGATTCTGGTCACAAACTGAACTGGAAGAGATCCAAATCGAATTTCCCCATAAGGTCAACATTGAACCTAACCACTGAATTCGACTGCACTGTTCTGAAAGATGGGAGGAATAACTGTATGTCTATATGCTGATCAGAACGACTCAACACCGTGGGGGAAATGGTGAGGAAGAAGGAAGAGGGGATTGCTGGAGTGATCCGTTAGGAGGCAAGAGCAGGGGGGACTGAGTGAACCAGGGCCTGGGTTTGGCTATGCAGGCAGGATTGCTCCCCTTGGACACTGCTCACATCTGGGGTCAGGTAATTCTTTCTTGTAGGGTGCTCTTCTGTGCACTGTAGGATGTTAACCAGCATTGCTGGCCTTCATCTGCTGCAAGCCAGTAGCGCCTGAGTCCGAACCAAACTATCTCCAGGTACTGCCAAGTAGCCCCAAGAAGTTTTGCCCCTCTCAGACATTAGGGTGTCACAACTAGGCGCTGGTGGGTGGGTGGCCTTAGTAGAGGCCAGGGCTGCTGCAAAACATCCTACCACACACGGGACAGCCCCACAGCAGGGTCACCCTGTCCCAACCCACATGGCTGTGTTGGAGAAACCCTGATCAAGTGGAAGAAAGCTACAGACACTGGCATGAGTCCTTGGGAAAGTTTTCTTCAGATTGTTCCCATTTTTTCACCAAAAATTGGAAGCAGGGTCATTGCCTATAACTCAGGCTAGAGGAGGAGGCCCAGGAGGATGAGGGAATGTCTTAGTTAATTTTTATGTTGCTGGGACACAATACCTGACACTCACAATTTAAAGGAGAAAAGATTTATCTTGTTTGGTTTTTTGGTTTTTTGAGACAGGGTCTATTATACTCCAGGCTGGCCTTGAACTCACTAGGCAGCCCAGGCTGGCCTCCAACTGGTGGCAATCCTCCTGCCTCAGCCTCTCAAGTGCTGGGATCACAGGCATGCGCCACCACACCTGGCTTGGAAAAGCTTATTTTGGCTCACAGTTTATAGAAGTTTTAGTCCAAGGTCAGCTGGCTCCAAGGCAGGGAATAAACAGCTCAAGGCATGGCAAGGAGGAAGCAGAGGCTAATCCACTGATGAGTATCACACCCCCATCATTCAGTCACCTCCCAGGAGCTTCACCGACAGGCACACAAGGCCTTGGGAGCCATCCACGTATAAACCCTAACAGGAGGGGAGATACAAAACTGTCCTGTAAGAGAAGTAGACACAATGCTGGGCTGCAAGGCTCACTTGAGGCAAGTAGTAGTAAACTGAATGTGAAGCCAGTTGGTCAGATGTGTTTTTCTGGGGTCATATTCAAAGACAGAGTAGGGAGAGAGAGGGCTTTAACAGATTGCGGTTTTGCCAGCAAGTGCAAGGAGGCAGCGAAGACGCAGACCAGTGAGTGATAACATGACCACAGAATTCAAGCTGAGTAAGAAGACAGAGGGATGTCAGGGATTACAAAAACACAGGTGGCCAAAAGCAGCATATCTATCCTAATGGGGTAGTTTCAAGATATTTTGAATTAGGATGAGCTGCAAAAGAGGAAAGATAAGGTGAGCTCTGCCATATGAAGGTAATGACTCGATTTTCCCAGTAAACACACTACTCAATACTCCCTGAAGGACAAGTACAATAGTCTCTCAATGAAATCAGGTAAATTAGGCTTCCTAATTAAGCTCATTGTTTGGGGCTCTGGTCACTTAGGTCAATTTAAGCTAAAGACCGAGTCTTAGCTCAGGTCAGTGAAGCTAAAGCCCAAAAAAGCAACACCAGACATGTGAAATATCAGAGGACCCAAAAAGTCTGAAATGACTTAGAGTGTTTAGCAGTCTGTTTGCATGTTTTTCTTACAGTTGTTCAGATGCTTGTGGATGTATGAGGAGTGTACCTAGGAGTATCAAGTGTCACAAATATAACCGAAGCACCAGGCAAAATTCAGGTGAGTCACCAACAGGTATTTCTAGCAGACCCATGGTTCTTATCCCTAAAGATTTAGTCTAAAAATTGTAAGATTGTTTTAAAAAAGTATTCATTTCCTCATCAGCATGCATATGAAATATGACAAGACACCTACACCACTTTTAAGGGAACAACATGTAGCCTTTACGGACTTGGGTTTTGTATAATCAATTAGGTATCACCAGGCTGAGTTTAAGCCCACCTCTGCCACTCTACAGCTGAATGGTCATGCTGGTGCTGACGCGATACTATGAGGCCAACAATGAGGTTCCTTCATGTGGAGGTTCCATAGCGTAGTGGTTATCATGTCTGCTTCACACGGAGAAGGTCTTGGGTTTGAGCCCCAGTGGAACCATGTTTGGGAGGTCCTCACTTTTAAGATCCATTGAATATCTGTGTTGAAGAAAAGAAGGCAAGGCACTCAGCTGACAAATGGAGATGGTAATACTGACCCCAAGCTGGGTGTGGTGGTGTATAATCCCAGCACTCCCGAGGCTGGGCTACCTAGCAATTTCAAGGCCAAGACTAGCCCGGACTACACCATAAGACCCTATCTCAAAACAAAAACCACCCATCATGACTACCTCACAGGGCTGTTGCCCAAGAGTAACTAAACTGTATAGTACTTCACTAGTAATAGACATCATGACTATACTTTGAGACGGGCAGGAGTCTCCTCTTTGAACTTCTCACTAAAGCCTCCTTTTTGTTCAAAACAGAGAAAAGGAACAAGAGTTTTTCACTAAAGGCAGAAACCTCTGTTACACACATTAGCGGGCCACTCATGATCATCTCTTGGCTACCAATGTAGGCATCAAGTGCTCAAGTGGTCTCTCGAAAAGTATCAACAAAAAGTCAGACCAAAAGGGGGGCCCTGTGATGAATATTACAGGAAGCTAACTGAGGACATAGCAAACAGAACTAGGAAAGCCCAGCACTGGCTTCGGGCTTGCCTCTAATAAGTTCTGTGGAAATCATCATATGATAGGTAACTGCCTCCATCTTTCTACCTGGAAAATGGGGTAACATTTAGACCCAAAGGAGTGGGGCGTGTCTAGCCCAACCCGTGTATTTCAGAGGAGACCAGTACTTGGGAGGTGAACTGATGTACCTCAAAAGTTCTCAGCTGCTGAGTAGTCACAACAGGACTAAGACTCAGATCATGACCCCCAGTTTAGGGCTCATTCCCCCCACTTACTTCTTCCAGGGGCTCCCTCAGGGAGAGGAGAGCTGCTTGACCCAGTTACCTTGGTAAGATCAGTATGATTTCTCCATCATCCTGTCAACCTCAGAGGATGACGCCAGGGGAAAGGACAACTGTTGCCTGCAGGTCATGTCCAACTGAGCTCTTAAAGTGACCCCACCCCAAATGGTTTTTAAGGGTGTTCACACTTGAGGGGGGTGAGCAATCCTAGGGTGGTGACAAAGATTCATCCAGAAGCCCTGGAGAAGGCAAAATGACACTGACAATGATACCGAGGAAAGAGACCCTGGGACCCTTTGTGCTGGAGGGGCCCAGCTCCCTCCTTGGCCGCAGTCCTGGAGGCACAGAGGCTGGCTTGGGGCGGCAATCTGTACAATCACACAGGTCCCGTGCGAGGTTTAATACTCTGCTGATACGGTTTGAAATTCTTAATAACAGCTGGGTGTGGTGGTGCACCCTGTAATCCTAGCAGCTCCGGAGGCTGAGGCAGGAGGATCCTTGCGAGTTCGACAGCAGTCTGGGCTAGAAAGCGAGCTCAAGGCCAGCCTGAACTGCATAGTGAGACCCTGTCTCAAAAAGACAAAAAAAAAAAAAAAGAAAGAAAGAAAGAAAGAAAGAAAGAAAGAAATTCTTAATAACTTACGAACACAGGACCTGTAATTTTCATTTTGCCCAGGGCTCCTCAAATGATGTGGCCACTGCTGCTTCTCCCAGCAGTCGGAAAAGTGACGGCCTGTGTAGACCACCAGCGCTCCGACCCTGCACAAATGGGATCAAATGAAAGGCCTGTGATTTTTATCCCCTCTCTGGCTTCTGTGGGGGGAAGAATGCTGGGAGAAAGTCCGAGGAAGTGGGAGGCCTGCACACTAGAGCAAAGGTCGTAGGAACCAGTGGCCTTTCCCAGTCCCTCATAAAAATGGTGCCTTTTTGCTGGACGGGCTTTCGCACGTCTGTCATCTGAGCATTGGAGAGGCTGAGCCAGGAGGATCCCCGCGAGTTCGAGGCCAGCCTGCGCCACATAGACCTCAAGGCCAGCCAGAACTACACAAGACCGTCTTAAAAATAACAACAAAAAGACGCCCAACCCTGCGCCGCCTGAATCCTCAGTTGCAAGAGGCGCTCCTGCCTCCCGCTGAGGGCGAGTCTCTGGCGCTGGGCTGTCTGCCCGAGGGGAAAACGGGAAAGGAAGCCGCTGGGAGGAGCCGGGCTCCCTCGGCGAGCGCCTCTGCCCGTCGGGCCGCCTCGCTGGCGCTTTGGCTAAATAAAGTTTGGGATCGAGTAATTAGAGGGACAGCGCTCTCAGCCAGGAGGGTGACCGGGTCCCCAGCCCAACGTAGGTAACAGGCGGCAGTAAGTCTGAAGCGCAGGGAGACCCAGCTGCGGGCCGTCTGAAACCGTATCCGGTCACAAAGCCCGCCCTGCCGGGGAGAGGCGGGGCGGGGCCAGGGGGAAGGGCGGGTATTGGCGGAGGCGCTGGTTCTGACGCAACACTATGAAAAGGCTTCCAATGAGATTCTCTCACACAGAGGTTCCATAGTGTAGTGGTTATCACGTCTGCTTTACACGCAGAAGGTCCTGGGTTCGAGCCCCAGTGGAACCATGTGTGGGCGGTCTTCACTTTTAAGAACCATTGAGTATCTGTGTTGAAAAAAAGCAGCAGAGGTACTTGCGTTCTTTGTAATAAATTTTTGACACGTTTTTATGTGAGAAGCGAAATGGCAGATGTCTTCTATCCCTCAAACTCACAGCTGCCATCGCTGGATCTGAGAGTCTAGGGTGGAGGCAAGGACAATTCGTCGTGTCCGCTGGGCCCTTCCTCACCTTTCCTGCTGGTGGTCCCTGCGTCCTCTCTCTGGAGCCAAGAAAGGCCAGCTCCTCAAAAGCCTCCAAATACTATATGTCAATACTGCAGCGCTTTAAATGCGGTTGAATTTTTAAAGGTTGATCATGATTAAAGGTTTAATATTTCATTAAACTCTTAAAATACAGAGCACAAAATACAGTCCTTTCCTTTTTAATATAGCAGTAGGGTTAGTGGACCAGACATCCATCTGTTTTAATGAAGAATCCATACAGTATAGACTAAGTGTCAGGCTTATCGACATCTAATAAATGCTGATTAACCAAATGCTTCTCTAGTTCCTTTATGTTCCTCTTTATGCTTTCACTACAGTTTCATTTAGGGGTAAGCGGGCATTTTTACTTTTCTTAACACTGGCCTTTTTCATCTTGGACAAGAGCAATGAGGGAAAGTTGTCTGGGGCTCTGGGGCCCAAGATGTGGGCCATGGATGGGATGCTAGTGGCAAAAAACTGAAAGGGGAAGGGAAAGTTCAGTATTTTTCTCAGCTTTTTTCACATACTTTTGCTTATAGTATAAATTTGCATCTTTTTCTAAGCCAACAGTATGACACGTTTTCCCTATTATTAATAATCTTAATTCTTTTTCTAACCCATTTTAACCATTAAGTGTATAGTTCAGTAAAGTATGTTCACGTTGTTGTGAAACAGGTCTCCAGAAGTTTATCTCGCAAGACTGAAACTCAGGGCCCATCTGTCAACCATTCCCTTCTTCCTCCCATCAACTTGACCCTTAATGGCTGCAACAATGTTAGCTGAGTATGCCAAGCACCGTTCTGTGTGTGTTTTGCGGTTTTGGGGTTCTTTTGGTTTGCAGTGCACAGATCACATGTAGGGCCTCCTATACATTACCCAAGGCTCAACTGCTGGGCTCCATCCCCAGCTGTTCTTGAATATTTTATAGTATCATCCCATTTCAGTATCATCCCATTTCAACCTCCAAATCACTCTATGAAGTAGGCATTTTTATCATGATCATGTACCAGAAGAGGTATTTTGCCCTGAGGTCACCCGACAGCCATTGGTAACACTAGGATTTGCATCAAGTCTACCCTGGAAATCTGTGCTCTTAACCCTATGAGGCTCTGCTGCCTTCCTAATTTGCATAACCATCCCCTAACCTTAGATGTTTTGGTTGTCTCCAATTTTTTATTGCACAGCATCACACAGTGTCTTTCTGCATAATTGTCCCCTGCCTCCCACCACCAAATCTAGTATTTTCCTGAGTGAATAGGATGGCACTGCCATACAGATAACAGAATGTTAGCGCAAGAAATTGCTCAAGGTCATCCTAGAAGGTAATGATGGACAAAGGATTAAGACTGGAGTCTTCAGACTGTAGTTCCCAGTTCCCTCCATCGCTTCTCTTATACTTAAACAGAATTAAACTAATATTGTCCTCGCTCAACCAACCTCAGTCCCCCTTTGTGTCTTTTCGGAGGCTTCCTTAGTGAGGCAGGTAACTGTGTGGGTTAACTTGATGGAGCTCAGCTGAAGACCTAAGAACTAAATGGAATAAGATGCTTAATAAGGCCAGTGCTCAGGTTAATCCCCTGCTCTTGGGCAAGCTCCCCAGTTCAGTAAGGCAGAGCTTCGGCCAAGGACGAGGGGAAAATGCCTGGCAAGATAGAAGGCTTCTTGTTATTACTTCTCTTTGGCTATGAAGGTATGTGCTATTCAGCCATTGGCATCCATTACAGGCATAGTGACATAATTTAATAATATAGTTGATAAATAGAAATACCACCTGAATAATAAAAAGTATTAGCAGCACATGTTAATTAGTTAACATGTGTTATTAACAATTGACAGTTGTCTTTGTGTGGATGTGATGTCATTGTCTTGCCATTGGCTTTCTGGTTCTGTGAGTAGCCTTTTAAAGTTCAAAAGACAATTAAAATCCAACAGAAAAGAAAGTTCTCACAAATTTATAAAATAACCATTGGTGGCAATAATTGAGAAAAACAAAGTAGTCTTTTTTGTGTGTGTGCGATTTTAGGGATGAACTCAGGATCTCACACATGCTCGGACAGTTTCCTACCACTGAGCTACACTCCCAGCACATGGGTGAAGTATTCTTGAAGACATTTAGGAGTCAAAGTTAGAGCACTGATAGAATTTAATCTTCCAAAGCAGGATACTATTGATAGTAGAGGAGGATGCTATTAATAATTCTGCTGGGACAACAGGACTGTCCTAGGCAGATTAGAACCTAAATTCATCCTACTTTAAATATGGATTAACATAACACACTGGGTACCACTGAAAGCTAATAAGAAAGCGTAATCCAAGTGAGAGTCAGGAAACCCCAAAGACTCAATATACATTCTGTCATTTTGAAACTTGGCCCTGGCAGGAGTGATGTGCTTACATAAGAAAACATTAAAGTCAAATCCCTAAAATGTCAGCCAAATCAACTTTTAAATTCTCTCAATCTTAGAAATGATACTGTTTCATGCCTCCCTCAATTCTCAAGTACCCATCAACTCAGAATTCCTTCTCAGATTCATTTGGATGTTAGAAATTGAATGTTTTCTTTGTTGTACTTGCGTATTTGTGGACGTTACAGGAAACAGATAAGCAGGGCAGGAGGAAGAGACCTCTGCTCTACAATGACCCGATAGACAGACAAGAGCTCCTGTGTGTCTCATTCTCCTCTACTCTCACTGTATTTCACTGATAAAGTACCTACTTTTCTTGCTTGGTCACATTTCTCAGTAGTTAGAAAGACTTGTGAAAATATAATCCTGAGGTCTTTTTGCAAATTCCAAGATATATTTCTAAGCAGCAGTTATTATTTTCTCTCCTCCTTGCAATTCAGAGTCAGTAGTCTGCGCCAGTAACTTTTCTAGGCAGGAGGGTACTGAGACTCCAACCCAGGGACTCACACATTCTCTACTACTAAGCTATATCTGCCTTGTTCTGTAATATTTAATGCTTTAAGATGCTTTGGGGGTTTGTTCCATACCCTTTCCCAGCAAGAAAATCTAATCAGAGTCATTCAAGGTTTACAGTCAAATACCTCTGATTCACAGACATCCACAGTGCTGGCCCTTGGACTTCTCTTTCATGGTTGGCACTGAGATGCATTTCTTTGTCCATTTGTTCAAGAACCCATGCTTGAGTATCTGTCATGGGGAAAACTTGGAAGAACTTGACACATGGAGCAGATCTTTGTTGCTTTGGCAGCTCTGAGTCACACAACTCTGTTCTATGACCTCTAAATGGGAAGAAGTCTTCTAAAAGTTCACCACCGTGTTTTTAAATTAGACCTGCCACTGGTTGGGCGTGGTGACACACACCTGTAGTCCCAGCACTTGGGAGGCTGAGGCAGGAGGATCACCATGAGTTCAAAGCCAGCCTGGACTACATAGGGAGACCTGGTCTCAAAAAAACAAAACAAAACAAACAAACAAACAAACCAATTAGACCTGCCCACTCAGTGAGCAGTGGTTATAAAAGCCACACTGTTGGGAGGCACAGTGGAGAGCACTCTTTTGTTTTGTGGCTTGTCAGTCTTTGTGCACTTACTAAGAAGCTCCAGAAATGTTCTGAAAGAACAGAGAGATCTGTCCAGGTGAAAGGGAATGTGGTCAAGTGGGAAGGCTTGGGGTACATAAATGCTCT